TAAGGAAGTCCAGTGCCCACAGAGGTGTACTTGTTGTAGGTATTCTAGCCACAGTTCCAGATGTGATCCCAAATGATGGCCAGCATCAAACATCAAAGATATGGATGAGAAAGTTTTGAAGATGACTCCAGCCCCTGCCATCATCTGACTCACTGTGTAGCAGCCTCTGAATGTGAACCACATAGCTGAGCCCAATCAACCCACAGAACTATCAGAGATAATGGTAATGATAAGAGACTATAATTGTTTTGTGCCCCAATGGATGGAGTGGTTTCTTACATAGCTAACAACTGCCCACTTCTCTTCTTTCTCCTACTTCATATAGTATAGACGTATAGACTCAGAAAACCTGAGTGTCTTAATCCTTCCTAATAGACACTATGTGCATTTCCAGGAGGAGATAGGAGAACTCACTTTAGCTTCATGTCGAAGTCAGCTTTTATGAGACAGCCTTGAATTGGGGAAATATCAAGTGGTTGAACATCTATTAATCAAGTAATAATCTGATTTCCATTCTGATATTTTTTTATGTACACAGGGTTTTTTACAATGAGCTCAGAGACAATTTGGCATATTCAGGCACATCTGGGTTGTTGTATTCCACCCCATCAATACACTAATATTTCTCATCCTTCACACTCATGAGTGAGAAAATACCTCCCTTGGGTCTCAGTACTAAGAGTTGTTATGTGTCTGAAATTCAATGGATTAGACTAAGGGGAATGAAGGGAAGGGAGGGGAAAAGGGAATAGGAGAAACAGTGGAATGAATTGGGCATAACTTTCAGTGTCCATATATGAATATATGACCAGTGAAACTCCACATCATGTACAACCATAAGAATGGGATACTAATTAGAATAAGTTATACTCCATGTATGTATAATATGTCAAAATACATCCTCCTTTCATGTATATCTTAAAAAAACAAATAAAAATAAAAACATAAAAAAGAATTGTTACGTGTCTCAGAACCACCATTTTGCTTTTATCTTTTGGACACTGCAAACCATGTAAAGGGATCATTCATCGGCTGGCTGGAATTTCCAAATTAGAATTGTAGCCTGATGCTGATCCAGGGGACCAGGAGTCATGCACTGTGTGCTTGTACCTTCTTTTGGCTGCATCTTTATTTCCTGCTGTATTGTATCCCCACATATCCTAAATATTTTCCCATAGGCAGCTTTATATTCCTTTTGAAAGAAGTCAGAGTATAAACAATGGACAGCAGTGGGAAAGGAGAATTCAACAGAGTGGTTCTGCTTATACCTCTATTTCCTGGAATCTGTCAGTATCTCTCACGGAGAGGACTGCAGAAATCTAGTATTTTCAGTTTAGCTAAGGACTAGGCAAAGGCCTAGTATATACACAAATACATAACAATGTTAGATGCTTCACACATAATTAATGCCCAGTATATGAGTTTCCTTGGTCTTTGCCTAGTACTTAGCTGTACTGAGAATACTAGATTTTTGTAGCCCTCTCCAGTGTTCTGTATTAATGATGGATTCCAGGAACTGGAGCTCTCTGCAAACTCCCATCTGTTCAATCCCCTTTTGCTATATACTTTAAATAAGAGGTGGGCTCCAGAAGGACTTTAAGAGGGGCTGACTACCTTAACCTGGGCCTCAGCTGTGAGTTGCTCTAGCTGTATGAAGTACTCCTATCAGCCAGAATGCACCTTGAAGAGGGGAGGGAAGCAGATCTCGTTGACTTCAAACCACTCATCAGCTGGATACTAAAAAGAGGAATTCTTATCTACTGAATTGCTACAGTGAGATCTGTAAAATTCTGTCATTTTTGAGTCTTTAGTCTCTCCTAAAACAAATGTATCACCAGCCTTGAGAGTCCGATAAGGTAAAAATGCTACTTAGTGGAGAATTCTTGTGATTTTGTCAAGTTTCTGTATGAGAAAAACAAGAAAACCTTGCTGAGGCTGTCAGAATAATATAAAACAGCTTGAGGTTTTTTTGCCTTGAGTTTGCGTGGGCAGGAAATTTATTCTTTGCTTGGTACATCTTTGAGATGCACGCAGCTGTGTGAGATCCCAGTTCTTTACAAATTGCTAATAAAGAAGATAATGCCAACATTTGCACTCTCCTCAAAAGTCAAACACTGAAGATTTAAATCAAGATTTCTGGATAGAAAATCTTAATCTTTTGAGTTATGTTGCTATGATTTTAGATTCGTTTCCTAATGCCGAAGGGAACTAAAATTAGAAATTGAAATAATCCAGCAGCAATGAAACAATTTTCTCATTCAGTTAACATGTACTTTTTGGGCATCTACTCTATGTCTATGTATTTAGAAATTTAAAAAAAAAATGATGAGTTTGATCTCCAAGTACAGAATTCTATTAAGTTTTGGCCAGAAAAGAAGACCGTAATTAATACTTGTGGAACACCTACTCTATGCCAGGCGATTGGCTTGGGCTTATATAAATGTTATGGTACAAATATTATTGATCCCATTTTATAGAGGAGAAAGCTGAAGCTACACAACCAGTGAGTAATAAAATGGGATTTTAACCTCAGACTGATCCCACTATACTACTTCCTATAGTCTAAATTTGTTCAGTTTGACTGGACAACACTTTTTCAATTTAGTTTTAAAAATATTCTCATAAATATTTTCAACTGATTTAAATCTACTTTAAAATACACAAATGAATATTTGAACTGGTGGGAAGACATTGAAATTGCCCACTTGCCACTGTGTAAAACTGCTTGTTCATACAAATGAAATCCAGAAGCACGTTCAAAGTTAAGTGCTACTGAGTATAATGATATTGATATAAATGATATTTCTGTGATATCATTTTTATTGAAGTTAATGTGATGTTGGATATGGATGTGAGAATAAGGTAAAATGACACAATCCCAAGAAGTGTCTGGTCACCTTTAGTTTATCCCAATTTCCATTCTCCCAACCTTCCTTCGTTTCATCCATCTGTCCATCCATCCGTCTATTCATACCATCATTTCAACTCCTTCAATTTTCTAGATTAAGGACAAGGCATTGGAATAAAGAGATAAAAAGGTAACACAATTGTATTGGGGATCAAGTTTTCAATACATCACCTTTGGGGGACACATTTAATCCATAGTAATGTAGTAGTGGTGACTGTGAGAGTGGGGACTTTGTAGTGATTCTCAAACCTGTGTTTTTCCAATGTGGTTTGAGGGTCACCTCACTCAGAATCCAATGGCAGTACTCACTAGAAATGGGGGATCTTCATCCTCCTCCATGCTTCTGAGCCAGAATCTGAAAATGTGACCCAGGAGTTGTCATTTAAACAAAATTTGTGGGTGAGTCTCATACTCTAAAGCCATCTTTAATCTTTCATTCTGTATCTTTAGGCTAAAAGCTTTCCCAGAACTGGTAGGAAGACATTGAAATTGCCCACTTGCCACTATGTAAAACTGCTTGTTCATGCAAATGAAATCCAGAAACGCTCAAAATTAAGTGCTACTGAGTATAAACAGAATTATGTGACATGGCACCTACTCTCATGGACCTTGTATCAGGGACAGACATCAATGGAGTTAGGGCTGTGAAGTATCTACTGGGGGAAATGCCTCTGAGTGACAAAGAGGTGAGAGAGCAGGAGTAGGCATGGCGAGCCTTAAGACCAAAATGCAGGCATGACTATGAAGGAAGAAGGATAGAGGGCTGGGGAGCAAGTCTCTGATCATAGTGCAGCTCTGAGACCACGCTGGCCAGCCCCATGGGGCACTCCAGCTTACAGATCTCTTGTATGAGGAGCCCCAGGTTAAGTAGAGCTGGTGAGACCCTAGCTCCCCAGTCATGGTCGGTATTTGGCTGGAGCTAATTGGAGAGTTTGTGTCCTTGCCTCAAATATTGTACCAGATCCCCAGGTTGCTGCAGCTAAAGGTTGTCATTTGATTAAACTCCTGACATTTCTCTCTTGAAGGGAGTTCTGGAACACATACTTCCATGAATGCCCTACACTTATTCCCTAGATGGGGAATTGAAAGTCTTACCCTATTCAATGGAACACTGGGGAGAAGAGTGGCAAGAGTGAGGAATTGAGCACATGGCTTTGGGGTCAACCAAGTATAGGCTGGAATCACAGCTCTGTCACTTAATAGGTGACCTCATGTAGGTGACCTAACTCTCAATAAACCTGCTGAGACAGAATCCTTGTAGGAAAGAGTAGGATAATGTAGGCAATTTAACTCTCAAGATTGTCCTTGTAGGAAATTATATGTATAATGTGGGTATTTGGAGCTTGCTAATGAGACACCTAGACAACATCCTTCTCTTTCTTTCCATCTCTCTCCTACACACACACACACACACACACACACACACACCATAACCTGCCTTGATTCATTTATATACAAGATATAAATGAATATATATATATATATATATATATATATATCTTCTAATAAAGAAGAGATACCAGGAAACAGAAAATGTATGCATGCAAATGATGGCATTGTATCTATTGTTGATTTGGTCCAGATTGGATTTGAACTCCCTTTGGTTAGCATAGAGTAGAAAATTTGTGTGAGCGAATAGATCACTGAGCTCTTTTCTAATACTGTGCTTATAAAAATGAGACCACACTGGGGTTGATAGAATAAGATGACTCAAGGCCAAATGATAGGACTCTACTCACTACCAGACTGCCCCAGTGGCCAACGAGTTCTTCTGGCAACCCTGTAACCTTGGGGATACACCAGTGTACCATGGCACAAAGTAGGGGAGTTCGGCCACTAACTCATAGCTCTCATCTGGAGGTTATATGCAAGCCTTTGGCCCTAGGAAGAACTGCTAAAGAGCCGAGGTGAGACGAGAAATGAGACACATTCCCTATCACTTCACCAAACTCAGAGGTGTTTTGAGTCCCTAGAGGACCAGAAAATTCTGAAGCATCTCCAGGTGATATCTTGAATGTAGATATTGTCATTTTCATGATGTGCAGTGCCATCTGTGAGTGAAATCATCAATGAACACAAAGAACAGAACAGATTGCATGATGGCGGAGTCTGACACTGGTTTATGAAAAACTGTGAGACATCCCTTTGGGGACACTCAGAAAAAAAAAAGTTGAGAGGCACTTAGATTTATTGGAAGAAACACTTAAGTCAAGAAGGATCTGAATCACGAGAAAACAATTTTTTAGTAGAGTTGAGAGGATTAAACAAGACAATTCACATGAACTTTGCACACAGTAATTCATATGTGGTAAATGGGAATTAGGATTATATGCATTAGGTATTGTATTTGTTAATACTCTGGCTACAAGTAACAAAATAACTTGAATATGCTTAAATCAACAACAACAAAAAAAATTAGTGTGGTGTGTGTATGTGGTGGTGGGGGTGTGTGGTATTTATTGTAAGAAAACAGAGTTATCTCATAAGACCTGAGCACAAGAATTTACCTGGTGCTCAGGAGAGACTGGAACCCAAGACCAAAAAGCCATTCCAAATTCAGACAACTTCAATAAGTAAATTTCTCTATAGACTAAGCTCCTTTGCCTCTCAACGCATGTAGGGCACAAAAATTAGTTCAGTTCCTGAGTTCACTTCCTGAGTTCTTCCATCTATATGGAGAGTTTTTTTCCTGAAGATTCTTGAACAGAATAGCTGATTAGCCCAATTTGTGTCAGGTGTCCATTCTTCCAATAAACTTCTGCCTGGAGTGTGAGATCATACAGCCTAAACACGCAGGTTGATGCTGTTCCTGTGATCCCATTGCTTCTTTATCTCCAGTCTGGTGGAGGTCTCAGCAGGGGAAAGACCCACCTTGAGAGAAACTGAGAAAAGTTTAATTTAAAAAAAAAAAAAGCACAATTTACAAAGGTGTGGCAGGATGGATGGTAGGGAGAAGGCATCAAGTCAGGCTATTATCACCTCCAGGCCCACCAGAAAGGGAGGAGGAGGAGGAGTTGATAAAACCCAAAGTCACTGAGAAAAGTTGTGGACTGCAGCTACCGTCGATGACCCCACAAGGAGGGAAACTGGGAAATAAATTTCATCTCCTGCGATTTACCCCATTGGCCAAACCAGAGGACAAAGAAGATCCTAGTTCCTGTAACCTCTAGAGACCTGGAGAAGAACTGGTAGAAAATGTATATGAAGGGCAAATGGATGTGTTTGTACTGATCTATTAACATTATGCAAAGAAATCAATCCTTACCCAATTTTCAATGGCTCTCTTTAGAAAGCATCCCAGTGAGTTCACAGCATTACACTATGAGACCCCAACAACCTGAATCCCACTTTAGTCAAAATAGGTTAGTAACCAACCATTCTACTTCCTCTAAGCCACCCACTCCTTGCTCCCCTCGTCTACCCCACCCCACTTGCCCATCTCAGATTCAAATTCAAATGCACCTCCCAACAAGGGCTTTCCATCTAGCGATCTCTCCCTTCTCTGACATCATTACCTTGGTGCAACTTCCAGCACTGACTCATCTCCAACTTAGAGTTGGAGTTTTTGTCCAGAAGATGCTCACGAATGTTTGCTAAGTTGTTGTTGAAGGACACATGAAGAGTTGGGCAAATCTCCTATTTCTAGGGTACTTTAAAAAAAAAATTACTTCAAGGACCTTTAAGTAATTTTGTAAGTTGGAAATGCACACTGCTCAACACGTTAAAACATTTGTGAAAGGAATGATGTTTACTTAACACACCAGCACAGCTCAGCTATTGCCCTTGGGTTACTTTTGAAAAACTTTTATTAGTATTTTGACTATTTCTGAGAAAGGAATGATATTTACTAGCACAGAAATGAATCATTCTTATATCTTATGGAGATAAGAGATGGAATGAAAAATATTAAACCCAGTAGATTTCATTTTGAGATGGCATTAACTAAAAACTCAAGTCACGTAAAATTGGAAGTGAGGGCAAGAATATACATATAATATCAAATTTTACAACTTTTAACCATATTCTAAAAATTCTTTAGGGATTTAGAAAACTACCCAATTTCAGAGAGGGACATCAGAAACAGAAAATAATCCAACTTTTCCAGTCTCATAATGTCTAGATTACCTAAAAGACTTCTGGGGTATTTTTTGTTTTGTTTTGTTTTGTTTTTTGGTACTGGGGTTTGAACTCAGGGGCACTTGACCACTGAGCCACATCATCAGCCCTATTTTAGAGACAGGGTCTCACTGAGTTGTTTAGCTCCTCGCTTTTACTGAGGCTGGCTTTGAACTCACGACTCTCCTGCCTCAGCTTCCTGAACCACTGGAATTACAGGTGTGTGCCCGGCTTAAGATTTCTGTTTTTATATTATGAGACTCTCTCCTGGCGGGGTAGTTACTAAATTCACATTGTTAAAATGGAAGTTATATTTTGTATACAATAAGAGAAATTAAAAATTGTGCTCTATGTGTGTACTATGTATTGATATACGTTCTGCTGTCATATATAAGAAACTAAAATAAATAGATTAAAAAACTTGAACTATGGAACAAAATAAACCTATACATACATTCCATTTTTTAAAAAAATGGAGGCTATAAGCCCTTCTTATTCACCCTGCCTTTTTCCCATCTTATCACTTACTAATTTGAACTTGGTATTTTAGATTCTTTATATTCTTCTCTGATCCAAAATTTAGCCAAACACCACATCGTATCCCTCCTGTCAATTTACAACTCACTGAATTGTTCTTGATCTCAAAAACGTCTTTCACAAAGTCATACTTAATAAGAAAACACAAAGAAATCAAGTTAAGAGTTCAATGGAAGGGATAATAAGACCTGCAGAGGTTTGTAAGAATCATTAATAAATTAATGCATATAAATCACAGTACCTAGAGTCATATGGTAAAACCACTATATGTACCATCTCTGTAGATGCAGAAATAACAAGTCTCTTCCCCCCTAAGATTCTCTGTCCTTGGAGGCCACACATAAAACTGGTGTGGCAGGCAGAAAGTGCTGGGTTTACTGAAGTGTGGAGAAGCACTTCTGGGCAGGGCTTGCCTGGTGGGTGAATGAGCACATTTGGAAAGGAACAATCTTGGGCTCAGTGAGCTCATGTTCTTCTGCATCACCAGTGATAGCATCTGGAGAGCAACAGCTCCACCTCCCACACATCCCACGATGTTTCATTGACAGATTTCATCTCTCTCAGGGTTCCAAATTGTTGACCTTTTAAGGTCAGCCTCCTGCTACAATCCTACACCCTGCCTAGGCAGCCCTCTGAAATAAAGTGTGGCATTTTAGCACCCAAATGGAGAGAGTTTTGCCTGGAAAGGGGGTGCTGGCTTTGGTAACCAGTTTTCATGAAAAAAAAAAAAACCCAAATTACTACAGCAAAATCTAAACCTGAATTCCCCACTGGGAAAAATTTTAATTATTTTCTTTTCAAATTCTCCAATTCCTTTTGAGTATACCACTCATCATATCGTCCCTCCTCCGCAGCCCTCAAATCTTACTGCAAAGTATAAAAAAGACAATGCCACCAATTAAACCATGACAAATTCTTGGCAGACTTTGTCCCACTTGGTCCCCATGTTTACTCTAAAATGTTAGCACTAATATTATTTCCACTTTACAGGTGAGTTCAGAACAGTTAACTGTCCAAAGTCAAATCACTAGTAAATGGTGAAAACAGTTCTTAGAACTAATTTCTAAATAAATAAATAAATAAAGACAGTGCTTTTAATCTGCCTGATAGTGCCTTGGGAATTTACCCACCCTGATCTTTCTCTCATCTGACTGGTTGGATGATGCTTTTGGCTATAATCATTTGAGTACCTTATTTCTGTCCTTGGTCTAGGCTCAGGTTCAATTCAGCTTAGCATTATTCTAAGCTTTGTAAGAGATACAAAGAATTCTACCTTTAATTTTCCTAAAACTTTCTTTACTCAAGTGATTTGCATGTCTGTTTGGACAGTAAATCCTGGCCTTACTTCCTTCTCTGTGTAAAATTAGTGAATGTGGGCACAGGCATTGATCTCCTTGTCCTGTTACCTGTTGCAAAGGCCAACAAAATAACCGGTTAGTCAAGCCAAGTCAAGTTTATTGCTAATGCAATAGAAAGAATGCTTCCTTGACAGAATCTTAGTTGCATCTCAGAGGAAGGATTTCAAGCATAGATATTTGTAAAGATTGGAGAGTCTGCTTTAAGGTGGAATTTTCAGTGTGAGAAACTGATTTCATCAGGGGATGAATTTCTGGTCTAAAAATTTAAAGCTGGTGAACTCAGCAAGGCATAAGTTTTGAAGTGAATCTTGATGAATAAATAATCCTCTGATAAACAATCTGGTTGTCCAGTTGAACAGTCTATTGTTCAGGTAAATGAATGTTCAGGGTGTTGAAATGAATATTTTGCAACTTTATCTTCTTGAGCAAGAACTTCTCAGAATAGAAAAGTTCTGTTGAGGTAGCCAGTTCTGTTTCATGTAGTTGCAAGCAGTTTTTGCTCTGTGTTTTATGTCCCTTATCTGTAAGATGATTATAGCGCTTACCTCATAGAGCTATTATGAGGTTTAATGAGTTAATGGGGGTAAAACTCAGCACCAGCAGACAGAAGGTGCTGTGTATGTAGTTAGTACCATCTTTACACCTACTATAGTTAATAAGTCTTATCCTAGCCAGACTCAGGAGGACTACCAGTCTGATGAATTTTTGAGGATTTTTCTCTGATAAAGTCATATTTGGAGCAATGTGTTATGGACTGAATCGTGTCTTCCTTAGATTCATATGTTAGAGTCCTAACCCATGATGTGACTGTATTTAGAGGCAGACCACGCAAGGAGGTAATTAAGGTCAAATGAGATTATAAGGGGCTCTAATTCACTAGGACTGGTGTCCTCATAAGAAGGGGAAGAGATACACAGACGAGAAGTAATGCAAGGACAAAGAGAGAAGAGAGCCCTCATATGAAACTGAGCTTGACCTCGAACTTCTAGCTCTAAGAACTGGGGGGAAATAACCTACCCTGTAGTGTTTCTATGACATCCCAAGCCGTCGGACAGCTCCACATTACTTTGATTTTTAAAAACCATTCTGAACAAACAAACGTTATAAAATCTGCATCTGTTGCCCTAGATTTTCTCTCTCCTGAGTCCAAATGTGTCTTTTCTGTTAGAAGCAAAACTCAGTTTCCCCAAAGTGGAACTTCTCATCTTTGCCTTCTAAATGGCTTCCCCAAGTCTCACCTTGGTATTCCTGGAACTTCTCCTACTCAAGACTGAAGACAAAGTAATCTCTGATTTCTTCCCCCATCTGTCCATCGGGCCATTAATTGAATATCTTTTATGGGCCAGGTACCATGATCAGTACAGGGAATAAAATGTTTAGCAAATCAGACTATGGGCAGAGATGGGCAGCAATCAAATGTAAAGATGTAATTGTCACCAGTGCCTGGTGAAGGGGTGACATAAACAGAGGTACATCATGTGAACTGAGACTGTCGGCATCCACATACCTTAACCACAGCCGCCCACATCAACATGACCTCACTATTTGTTCCAGGAATTCTCGCCCAGGGAGGTAAGACTATACACCATAAATACCTCCATTGTTTGCTTTAGGAACTTCCTCAAAATCAATTTATCTGAACTTTAGCTGCTCAAACAGCCGATTTCTCAGGACAATAGATCACGTAGCTGCTCATCAAACAACCGTTTACTTATTGAGATTTGCTTCCAGACTCTCATTCACTCTGTTTATCATTCCTAAAGTACTGTATAAAAAACTTCCCCCAGTCTCAGATTCCCCTTAAACCACTTGAGTCTAGACTCCAAAAGCCTGTAAATATCAATTTCTGACTTCCCCCTTCTGAGATACTTTTAAGTTTTACTTTATCAACAGCTTACTCTGATGGTCCTTGGAGAGTCTATAGTCAATAGTTACAACAAAATGATAGGTGTTGTAAAATAAGGGCATGAGGGCAAGAATGGATATCAAAGGACCCCCATGAGAATGGGAAAATGAGAATATTCATGAGATTCCAAGAGAAGGTTCCAGAGGAAATGGCACTGGGGCTGAGAACTTAATACCGAGGAGGAATTTACTAGATAAAGAGTGGAGGAGGAAGAGTGCTCCAGGCAGACACACAGAGATGGGAGAGAACTGTATTTTTCTAGAATGCAAAAAGAAGGCTATTGTGACTGGGGCAGAAAGACCCAGTGAATGGTGGAAGGGAATGAAGCTAAGGGATAAACAGCAGGTAACAGGATTATAAGGATCTTGCAGACACATTGAGGAGTGGGGCTTTTATCTCTGAAAGGAAAGGGGAGGCATTGGAAGGCTGAAAGCTGAAGAGTGCCTGGATCTGACTGGACACCTGAACAAGATCACTCTGGCTGCGGAGGGCAGGGTGGACTGCAGGGAGCAGAGGCTGGTGGAAGACAGTGCTGAGAGCTGTTGTAGAACTCCAGAAAAGACTAAAATGGATCTGATGTCCAGAGACACCCACACTGTGATTCAGATCCATCCTGCGACACTGCCCCCTTCCAAAGTAGACCTTCACCACAGTCCACTTAACCCACTTCAACCTAGTCCACACTCAACCTAGTCCACTCTAGCCACTGTACACCTAACTAGCTCTCTGATCTCGGTACCCTACTTGACAAAATGCAGGAAGGAATAACACATATGTGGCCCACTTCATTCAACAAATATTTTAGAATAAATATTTTGTAGCCAGCATTGTGCTTAGTCCCAGAAATTTAGCTATGAGAAAGATCAACATATACCCTGCTCCCCAAAGCCACAAGATCATGTGAAATAATGTATTCAAAAGCTCTTTGAACACTGTAAGGCTGTATAAAACACTCTTGATTGCAAGTGAAAGAAACACTAATAGCATGAACAAAAAACAAGTTTATTAGCTCAGGTGCTTGGAAAATCTAGGAGTACACTCGGCATCTCTGGATCTAGGTAATGATATCAGGGATCAAGGAATGACATAGGGAACCATACTTTTCGCCATCTCTTAGGTTAGTTCTACAAAGTGGACAAGATGACCACCAGCAGTGTAAAATTGACCTTGGCAGAAAGATTAAATCTTTCTGGTGAGCTCTGAGAGAACTTCGGGGCAGGATTCTGGTTGACCTAGCTTATGTGACACATCCATCTTTGTTTCAACCCGACACCAGTAGTAACCTTGATGTAAAATTCTGGCCAGGCCTGGATCATGTACCCACTCCTGGAGGAAGAAATCTGGGCAGTCAGTCCCCCTGAATGACACACACTGGACAGCCTTTCTAAGGGATGATGTGGGGGAAGATTAGTTTCCCCTCAAGAGGCTCACTGGGCAGAAACAACCACAATATATGCCCACAAAACAAAGATATTGTAAATAAATCTTGGGATGTATAATTAGGACTAAAATATCTGATATCTCTGTGATAGCTTTTATAGGTCTCACCATAACTACGAGGCAGGAAGGAATAAGAAATAAGAAGGGAGCCATCAAAATTGAATAATAGCCACAGAATGACAGGATGACTCAAGCTGATGACTTTCAGGATGAAAGAAACTTGAAGATGCTTTCAGTCTGAAGAAGGTAGAATGAAAAATACCGGAGAGAAATTAGAATGGCTATTATCAAAAAACGAACAGATCTACCATACAATCCCACCATCCCACTCCTGGGCATATACCCAAAGGAAGTGATATCAGCACACCAGAGATACCATGATAGCTATTCACCACAGCTCAGGTGCAGCACATGAATCAATAAAACATACTATAAATCCACAAAAAAATATTATTCAACCATAATGAGAGTTGGGAAAACCTGTCTCTTATAGTAAAATAAATGGACTATAACTTAACATTATGTAAAATGAAATAAGTCAGATACAGAAAGAAAAAAAAAAAAGACCTGAAGTACAAGAGGGAGATAAAGGAATCCTGGGTTTTATCAGTGCATGTTTTTTTTTTTTTAAAGAGAGAGAGAGAGAGAGAATTTTTTAATATTTATTTTTTAGTTTTCGGCGGACACAACATCTTTGTTTGTATGTGGTGCTGAGGATCGAACCCGGGCTGAACGCACGCCAGGCAAGCGCGCCACCGCTTGAGCCACATCCCCAGCCCTTATCAGTGCATGTTATATGCACATGTTGAAATGTATTTCTGAACCCCATTAATATGTACAATTAACACATGTTAATCAAAAAGTTTAAAAAAAAAAGAAAACACCAAAGAGACAGACAAAAACAATGGGAAAGTTCAGGGAGGAGAAAGAACAAAGGACATAGAAAGAGGTTTTGGTCTTGACAAGGGACATCTCATCTTTGACACAAGAAGTAAAGATGTTTTAATGGGTATAGGTGTGCTATGTTTAAAAATCATTAATTTTGGAGCAAAGCTTGTTTTTACTTGAAATATCTCTTTAGTGTGAATGGTCTTATAATTTTAATTGCAGCATTTTTTTCTTTGTGTTGCACAAAATAATGTTTTTTTTTTAAATATAAGCAATAGTCTCTTTGATTTGATGAAATCTGAACTATGTCAATGATCTCAGAGTTTTTGTGCTTGACCACCAACATACTTTCAGTTTTCTGAGCAAGTGAAGTAGGGTTTGAGATGAGGTAGTCTGTTGATAGGGATGTGGTCAGTACAACCCCTGTCCTGGTTTGACCTTCAGCTCCACAGATTACTAGCTGAGTTTGTGGGTAAGTTGCTTAACTTCTCCAAGTTTCACTTTCCAATCTCTATGTTTAAGAAGACGGTTGAATGAGATATATGTGTAGGAAGGAAGAAAAAAATCCACTTGGTATGTTACCTAGGCCATACTGTAGTTTTCAGGTACTGTCTTTAGTTTTAGTTCTCGCCCATTGTTTTTATTATTTTTGATTGAAGTGAGCTGTGAATGATGGAATAACTGTCCAGGTGGGTGGGAGAATGAGCTAAGAACAACAGAAACAAGGCTGAGAACCTATCAGATAATAGAAATGGTTTAGTCAACTTTTTTGCTCCTGTGACTAAAGGATCTGACCAAAACAACTGTAAAGGAGGAAAAATTTATCTGGAGACTTACAGTTTTTGAGGTCTCAGTCCATGGACAGCAGATTCCATTCCTTGGAGCTCAAGTTGAGGCAAAACATCATGGCAGAAGAGTATGGCGGAGGGAAGCAGCTCACATAATGATCAGGAAGCAGAGAGAGTCCACTTGCCAGATAAAAATATATCCCTCAAAGCCACATCCCCATTTCTCACCTCCTCCAGCCACACCCTTCCACTTCAGTTACCACTCATTTAATCACTATTAGGAGATTAATTTGCTGATTGGATTAAGGTTCTCAGAACCTGATCATTTCTCTTCTGACCCTTCTTGCATTGTCTCACACGTAAGCTTTTGGGGGACACCTCACATCCAAACCATAACAGAAATATAATAGAATTACAGAGGCTCAGTTGGCCAGGTGGTGTGCCCTTCTCCAACAGGGCTAGACTGATTGTGCATAGGTGTGGCGATGGTGGATTGTACAGTCAGAGGTTCGACTAGTTGAGGGCAACAACATGCCCATCATTCTGCTGTGGCTGGAATTTTTGCCTTGGTTTTTCTGTAGCCAGGAACCCCTTTTCCCTACAGCCACATGCTCACCCCCTCACCTCCTTTAGACTGCTCCTCACTTCTATACTGACAATCTCTCTGACCATCCTATTTAAGGTGCTTCCCCCATCTCACCCTCAGCCTGCTTGTTATTTTTATTGGTGAGTGCCGGGCACCTAACATCACAGTAATTTTTTTTTTAATTTCTTTTTTAGTTGTTGATGTACCTTTATTTTATTCATTCATTTATATGCAGTGCTGGGAATTTAACCCAGTGCCTCACACATACAATGCAAGTGCTCTACCACTGAGCCACAACCCCAGACCCCCTCCCCAGTACATTTTTATTTGTTTGTTTTTATTGTCTGCCTTTCTGACAAGGAAGGCAGTGGGGACAGTTCTGTTCACTGCTGTATCTCCACTTCCTAGTGCAGAACAGACACATATAGGATTATGGAAGAAATAAATGAATAAATGAACATAAAGAGCAAGAGGGCAATTCAAGCAATTATCAGAAGGGGAGGTTGCCGTGGAAGGAAATGAAGCCACAGGGAGCTGAGGTTCACTGTTCATTCATTCAAAATTCTCTCTTGAGCACCTACTTTGCCTGCTCTTCTAGGTACTGGAGAGGAAGCAAGGAAAAAAACAAAAAAGCGACATTCTCTGGGACTTAGATTCTACTGTGGGAGAGAGAAACAAGATCAATAATTAATTATGTACTGGGTTAGAAAAGGATATATGCTGTGGAAAAGTGGAGCAGACAGAGGGGAGTCAAGACTTCAGGAAAGAGAGTGAGCGGTTACGATTTTAAACTGAGTAGTTGGGGGCACTTTGGGCAGAAAGTGGCCTTTTAGCACAGGCATGAAGGAGATCACAGAGTGAATCCTAAAGCCACCTGGGAGAAGATTTTTTTTTTTCTGAGAAGAAGGTACAGCTAGCACAAGGGACCTCAGTTAAGAGCATGCCTGAAACATATAAGGAAATCGTCCCCTCCGCCTCCCAGGCCAGAGGGACTGCAGCAGAACCAGGCATGGGAGATCAGGAAAGGAGGATGGTGCATTCCCTGTTCAGGGTATTGTCAGCTGTTGCAAGGACCTGGGATTTTATTCTGAGCAATGGGACACCAGGCAGGGTTCTAGGTAGTAGAGTAACAAGATTGGAATTCTATTTTAAATAGACCTTGAGATAATTATCCTCGTTTTGTAACTAAGGAAACTAAAATTCAGAGGGTGAGGTTATTTATTTAAAAAATCACAATTTAAGTGGCCATGCTGGGATTGGAAGCCAGACATCCTATACTCATGCTCTCAGCCAACATACCATCTCCCCAAAGGACACATGCAGCCTGGGTTCCTCAAATGCCAGGAAAGCAACATTCCACTCCAACATAGCCAAAGCCAAGGGCTCTGTCTTACAGTCATTCTTTGTTAATGTTTTCTTCTGGCTTAAGGGAGCTGCTGCCCTTACCCACTCCCTCTACCTGCTGTGTAAAGTAAACACCAGAAAATGCTGATTAGAACTAAAGATGGCTCCTTGTCTCATGAACTCAATATTTCTATTAAGGTTTGAATATCCTCCTTGTCCCTGGAGGAAGGGTATCACCAAAGTATTATCATCTCAGGCCCCCAGATCTAGAGGAACTTCTGTCTATGAAATACCAGCTCCTTCTGTTCACAGCCCTCATAAAGGGAACTACCCTATCCTGTCCCCTGATTCTCTGTGGTCATGTTTGAACCTTGTGATACAAGCTACACACCTTTATGACCCAAGGACCATCAATCCATTGGCTTGGCTGTGACATGTTACAATGGTCCAGTAAGATTCTGCAACTCAGTGGAACTAGAAAATTCTAGGACTGAGAATAAGTGCAAATGAATACATGGAAGAAGCAGAAGGGTAACCAGAGGAAAATGAAGGAAATAGTCCAGCATAGTACACGTCTGAAGTCAGTGCTGGTCCAGGCTGGTATTGATTGTTTCAGGCCCTTTGATGCCCAGAAATAATGCCCGGGCAATCTAAACAAAAGCCCTATTTTTGCTGAGGTGACTGGAAAACTCATCATGCCAAGCTGAAAAAAGTCCCCAGGTCACTCTTTTATATATTCTAAAGGTGTATCCTTCTGCTCACGAAAACACCAGTTAACATGGTGGTTCACCATTCTCCATCTGCCTATCATCCCTGGGCCACCTCCTCATGAGCACTGAAGAGCCAGTTGCAGGCTGGAGTCAAGCCCAGCTCTCCTGGCGTACATCCCTAGCATTTCCACTGATTCCTCCCTTTTCTGTTCTGGAATACAATATTCTAACAATTGAAAGCATTTCTTCAACACCCTCTTTCTCTAATAGGTATCTTTCTCTTGTTTATTATGACTGTAATCCAGTTTGAAACAGAGGATCCCAAAAACAATCCTAGCAAATAAAAGCCACCTTCTAATATCTAATCCAATCTCATAAGTGCTTTCTGAACAGTCATTCTGTGTTGGATGCTGGAAATCAGTATGCAGATGGCAGATAAGTACTCTGAGGTTTTTTTTTTAAGCAAAAAATAAAAATTAAAAAATTTGTCATCTTACTTCAGTTTGGGTAGCCCAGTTCTGGGGCATACAGAGAATTCTGTTTTGAGGAACATAGAAAGTAATGATTTCTCTTTCCTGTAAGCTTAAGAACTCCAAGTTGGTCATTTGCTGACCTAGCAAGCACGTGGAACATCATGCAGGAAAAACTGATTAAAACGAAAGATGTCTCCTTGTCTCATGGACTGAAAACTGCCATTAAGGTTTGAATACCCTCCTTGTTCTTTAAACCCTGGCATCCTGCCAAGTCATTAACTTTCTGATAGCCTGTCCTCTCCCCCAGCTATCTGTTCCAGATCTGCACTTGGTGACTCAAGTTTCATGGCTGCTTTGATGGGAGTCGGGAATGAGCAAACACGAGGAACGCTAAAGCTGCAAGGACATTGCCTGAACTGTTCTGAACCTCAGCTTAATGCAAGAGGAAAACTGGGTAAAGCAATGCTCTTCTGCCTGTGTTTTTTTCCATTCTTCTTTAAAAACTGAACATGCAGCAAAACTGACCTTTTCAGTGTGTTCAGTTCTACAAATTTTGACATGTGTAAAAAGTTGTGTAACCAAACCAGGATCACCCCCAAAATACTCCCTTATTATTCCTCTGTCATCACTTTCTCCCCTCAACCCCTAATTCCTGAGATCACCAATCATTGATCTCTTGCCCCTCACTATGATTTTGTCCTTTAGAGAATTGCTCCTAAATGGAATCTCACCTGATGAGACTGGCTCCGTTCATTCAGCTTAATGCCTTGGAGATTCATCCAAGTTGTTACAGGATTCAATAGCTGGTCCCTTTACAGGGTTGAAGATTTTTTCATTATTTAGATGTGCCACAATTTGTTTATTCATTCCCTAGTTCAAGAACATTTAGGTTGTTTCCAACTTTGAGTGACTATGAATAGAACCACTAGATGAACATTTATGCATAGAGTTTATTTCTGTTTTGTTTTGAACTTACATAATTTTCTATGGTAAATACCTAGGAGTGGCTTGCTAATCATGATGGTAGGTACATGTCTAACTTTTTTATTGAAAAACTGCCAAGATTTTTTTTCCCCAGAGTCCTCTGCCATTTTGTACTCCTGCCAGCAAAGTATGAGAGTTCTAGTTATTTTGCATCCTCGTTATCATTTGATATTTCATTATTTTCTGCTTTAGCCATTTTAATAGGTGTGTAATTTGGTTTTAATTTGCCTTTCCCTAATGGCTAATGATTCTGTATATCTTTTTATATGCTTATTTTCTATCCATACCTGCTCTTTGGTGAAGAATCTGTTTAAGTCTTTCATCCATTTGAAAATTGGATTTTTCTCTTGCTGATATTTGAGGACTCTTCTTTTTTCCTAGACAATTTTTAAAAATTTTTATTAACATGTAATAACTGTACATATTTATGCATTATAATGTGATATTTCAATACATGCATATAATATTTGTAGGTCAGACCAGGATAATATATCTATCTCCTTATCATTACTTGACTGTGGAGGATTTGAGCTCCCTCTTATAGTTATCTACAAGGCATATAATAGGTTATTGTGAACTACTCCCACACACACACACACACTTTTCTGAGGAAAGCTAGAAGTTATTACTTCTAACTTTGCTTGAGTATGTGTTACCTAAGGTCCAACTATCCTGTCTCTACCCTACCTTTCCCAGCCTCTAGGAGTCACAATTATGCATTCCAATGAATTTTTTAACATCTATATTTATGAGATAGAATATGTGAAATTTATCTTTCTGCACATGACTTAAAAGTCTGCCAGTTTCATTTTGCTCTAAATAACAGGATATCATTCTTTATCAATGTGTATGCTTGTCTGCGTGTGCACATGTGTGTATGCACACATTTTCTTCATCTATTCATCACTGAGCACTTAAGTTGATTCCATATCTTTTTTAAAAAAATATTTATTTATTTATTTATTCTAGTTAAGGAATACATGACAGCAGAA